ACACATATATACATACACACACACACATATATACATACACACACACACACATATATACATACACACATATATATACATACACACATATATACACAAATATATATACATATACACATATATACACACATATACACACATATATACACATATATAGATAGATATATATCCGTAAGGACCTTGACAGCTATATATAGATATATATATAGATATATATATATAGATATATTTCGATATATATATATATAGATATATATATATATAGATATATATAGATATATATCTATATATTGATATATATAGATATATATCTATATATAGATATATACACACAAACAAAGCAAAAGTTGAATTTAGCTTAACTCAATAAAGCTCAACTCATCTTAAAGTAACATAATCACGTGCACACAGCTACACACTGATCTTCCTTTTCTTCCCTGTTCAGTCAAAGTCATCTCCTTATATAGAGCCTCCTATCAGCAGGATTCACTTCCTACCATGAGTGCAGGTGACACCAATTACTGACTCCATAGTTAACAGACACGACCTATACCTCACAGCACCCCTTTAGGTAACCAAAACTTTTATATGGTTTACAATTTGCTGTACACTCACAACAATGTAAAACAGAAATCTACCTGTACATACTCTAATCCTCCCCATGCTTGGTTTGACCCAATGACATCACTGATGACATCATCCAGTGTATAAATAGAGGAAATGGTTGGGTGCCTCCCCCTTTTAGCCTCTGGAACACATGGTGGGTATGGTAAACAAACAATTGAAAAGCATGGTCAGATTTATAGATGAATGTAATATGGGACAAATGGTGTGTTCTCACCCGCTTTGTCACACGCACTTTTATTTTGAAAGTACTGCTATATGAACAAAGGGCAATAACATTGTGTGTAAACACTTTAAACACATCAGGTTGTTGTTAGCAGCAGTGTTCTCTTCACACAGCAGCAGTTCTATCTCTTCATCACTATGATGCTGTAACTCAGAGGTGATGAAGGTGACCC